AAAAGGAACCAAAATTTGGGGTGCTTGCCGATCTATCAAAAACGGAACTCCTGGTGTATCAAAAACGAAACTTTTGCCTTCAAATTCTATTAGCTTAAAGTCATGTGATTTCGATTCAAGTTCAGGGACGTTTTCACCCACAAAGTTCCATTTGATATGGAAATAGATGACGATGCAAACGACATCCAGATAATACCTTTTATATCAAGTATAAGCTCACAGTTGAATGAGTTGAATGACAAATTAGCCGACGAACAGATCGAAGAATATTTTCAGAGCAAGGCAAGACGATGTCTTCACTACACGCTTTCTTGTGATTCACTTATCTATCTTTTTAATCTCAAATTATTTTCAATCTGCAGCTTTATCTCCTGTCGTCAGATAACCAATTCGTTAGATTTGTAACCAGAAAGTGTATTACCCGGTTCTTCTTACACCCTAATAGACAAGTATGTACGATAACGGATCATCACTGTTTTCATGTCATGCCATGATAATAAACTAGATTACTCAAATCAAATTCTGCATTTCGAGAAGACGCTCCATCGACAGTCAATTTGTTCTCTCCTCACGTCAATACATTCGCATCTCCTATTATCCTTGTCACGATCTCATCGTGCTGCCATCCATGATTACTCGGCATTGAGTACAATTTTGGATATATATCATGATGTGCTGAAGCACTACAGAGCGTATTTGGAGGTTGAAGATGAAGAAACAAATGACCATGCTGGATCGCAACTCATAATAGGGAACTATTGGGCGTGGATTAAGACAATTAGCGATTGGATACAAGCATCGCACAATGAATGGAGGGTATGTTAATTTTTAGCCTTCAGATGACAGTATGCGAGGATCCTGATCACACTGGCTTATGAAAGAACTATTGTACTCTAGGGAGACGACTATCTTGTAATAGTGCCATGCTTAACAGTATTAGTGGACATTATCAAATTAAAACTATTGATGTCTGAATTGGATGTTGATGATCTTGAAACGATAGAGGCCATTGACAGTATATTGGACGTTGTAAACAATAATCTGCCAAAGGTAAGTTCGCTACTAACTGCAAACCGTAACAGCCATTACTTTTGTAATCGCTTAATGATTGTTTACTCATAAATTACAGATTTGTACACTGATGACCTTTCCACATATAACAGCTATACGAAGATTATTAGAGTTAATACTACTCACGATTAAGTCAACTGATAATGCATCAGTGGTATGTACGTTTACTTGTTATCACAATACAAGTTCTGTTGAGTTAATGCCATTTCGATACGCGAAATACTACACACATTCGTCTTATTTTTAGTTTCCATTCTCATCGACTATTCTTCACTTTACAGATCTCCCTCCTCCTCTCAGCTCTAACTCCTTACACGAATTACCTCACATCCGTTCTAACGAGCTCGACGTTCTCCGCTTTGACATCTCCAACTGAATACACGGAATTTTTCCTTTCCCAACGACAATACGATAACCCCGCGTTCATCCCTTATGATGCAGAATGTTTGAAACGAGTTATCATAATATATATGAGAAGTGTAGAAGTGTTCTGTGATAAATTTGAAAACGATACTGATGAATACGCGACTAATGAAGATATCGAGAATGGAATCAGATGTGTGCTTGATGCGATTGAAGGTATGGTATGGACTCACCGCCATGACAGAGAAATGTGTTTTTTCCCCCCCTCCCGATTAATAACCAATTACCTGGTTCTAATAAGATATAGGCTTACCAAGTGATCAGACAGTAGTCGAACACGTTTTTCGTCTGTTCAACAATAACGATGCGGATATGTTTGACATTATGTTAAGTATGACGAAGCTTGCGATCAAAAAGACTCAGAAAAAGCTAGAGAGGTGAGTGTTATCGACGAGAACAGTTTGCTGTAGGAATAGTATGATATGTTGCTAACCATCACTAACATTCGATCAACCACGTTCTATTAACGATCATCAACTCGGCTATATCGACGCTTGTTTTTTTCTCCATTCCGACTGGTTTACCACTCTCAACCGTGATTCTAACCATTTCAAACTTATTCATTCACTCACTCATCTCTCACATTCACGTAGTTTGCTGCATATTCAGCCTTCCATTTCACGTCTAACTAGTTATGTCGTCGCCCTTTGTCCGCCTCACGTTCTATTCCTTCGATTCCTGCAATCCACAGGATTTGATCATTCGATCTTGCTTGATTTTCTTATTTCAAACGAGACTAGATTCCTCGAATTCATTGTCCTGTATATGAGGTATTTATTGGCGGACGTCGAAAGGTTTATTGTAGAATATGAGATGAACGATATGGTGAGAATCAGCGGTGAACGTGGGAGTGAGAATGGAAATGAGGATGAAGATAAGGATGATGGTAATGTTGGAAATGAGAATGAGAATGGAGGCGTGGCTAATAGTAAAGCTGGGAATGAGAGTGGGAATCGCAACGAGGGTGATAGCAGTAATAGAAATAGAGATTATATTGGTAATGATAATAAGGATCACATTGAAAATAATGAACGACATGGGAATAGGAAAAGACTCGCTGACGTTGTTATTAAGGATCTTTGTAGAAATCAGGGTAATTGCAAGAAAGGCGAAAACGTCAACCGATTTCTTGACATGATGGTCGAATTGAGGGAAGCAACAGAATCATTGATGAGACGGCAGTTATTTCCTTATAACGCTAGATCGTTGGTACAAAGGATTGTATCTGTTGAGGAAGCACTAATGATGTGAAAAATGGGCATATTCAATAATATTAAAAACATAAATGGAATATCCGTAAAGCAATTCAGCCATCGTTATTTGCTTCAATGCGTTCAATCTAAATCGGTTACATGCGCCTATATAATAGAGATTCCCATTCGAAATATAGTTAGAATGCGAACAACAGCTTTGTTGATCGATCTTGCATAAGAAATAATTTAATTTTGTTTAACGCATCTACGTTGTTTGTTTGGCGCACTGTTTGCCTATTGTTTAAAACGCCACAATGAGAAGTTATGTTTCCTTCTTGTATAAGAAAGAGGGTTGTTGCTGCATATATTTCCTTTTTTGCACGAGGGCAGTCTTATTTAGACAACATAAAAAGTCAATTGCGTTTTACGCTACTATTTATGGAATATTTCCGGGACTCATGATCCGAAATGTTGGTGCTCATAATTTAGTTTGCTATATGCTAATGAATTACAAAGAATCTAGATGCGCCAAAGAACAACCAACACGGTGCCAACCTCTGGTCATTGTGTTAAGAGTTCTTAAAACAAACGATTTCTTATTATCATAATCAATAGAGAGCAAAAATAACGATTCCCAGTAGAAATTGCATAGTAAAGATCCAAATGGTAAACTGTAACACCTTATGGACTGTAAAAATGAAATATTCGGTTTAATTCACTTCTATTTCAGGCGAAAATAACTCTTGCGTACTATAAATACGCTAGCTTTAGCTATTCATAGGTTAATTTGTGTGCTCTCAATGAAAACGAGCTCTGCAGGTACATGTCCAATTTTAGTCAATTTTGGTCAATTTTGGTCAATTTATATTTTAAAGCATTATGTTCGAGTTAAATTGTGGTTAGGAAACTATTAAGCGTGTGATGTGAGAACAATATTTCTATTACATTGCGCCTATTACTATTGATTAGATCAACTTAATTATTGTGGCTGGAAACCAATACCCAAGCTATTGATGTTGTGTAGTCGCTTGCTTTCTATTCACCGTTATTTACATTCTATCTATTGCCTAGTGAGATTGTTTTATAGTTCTATTGCGTGTTTGTATTATTGTGTCGCAAGATTTGAGCGAGATGGATAAGGTATTAATTTAGATTACATCATAATCAGGGGAATTGGGGCTCAACAACATTGTTGCCATAGATAGAGATAATTCGACCCGTTACAAAGGGATTGATTCGACATTTGTTTAGTCAAAAATGTCCACAAATGATTGCGGATAAAGGTCGGACCGTTCGCGCGAATCTCCGTAATTGCCATACCTTGCACAATTTACATTCTCCCAATCAAAGTACGAATGCAAGCTTATTGAACAAAATTGTAAATACCAGAGCTCAGCCCCCTCAACAAATGAGAATAAAAAAGTTTTTTCGAGGGGGCAGTTTGATTTTGTTTCGTCTCTTTTTCACCGTAAGAAAAAATAACAGACGTCAGTATAGTAACTACCAATAACACACACCAACAATAACAGCCTTGTAACTATTACCACTATTACTAAAACTTCAAGCACTTACCACTCTATCGAAATAACTATACAATACTCTTCATCTCCTCCCAGCTTTTCTAGCTTGTTTTTTTTTTTTTATTATTTTTAATATTTTCTCATATCAACATTATATCGAATTCCACAATGGCTTTCACTCTCTAAATAACCCACTTCAAAGCTCCCTCCTGCTTTGACATTTACTAACCCATACTAGCAAAGTCATTTTCACACAACAAATTATTCTCCCTTCTCAATTTCTTACACAACCCATTCTTACCGTTTATTTCGGCAAGCAAAATGATTGCCATATCACACCTCCCCACTCATCACAATGTGTCGATAACCTTTCAGTATCAGCGGATATATCTATCGTTGAAACTATCCAAAACTGTGCTATAAAGCAAATTTCATTTACTTGGTATTTTAGGAATACGTATTAACGGCTGCCCTTTCTGTTTGGAGATTACTTTTGTTCAAATTAGGGATTAGTTGCTTTATTTCAGAAATTGATTCTTTTTAGACCATAAAATAACAACAAAAAAACAAACAAATACCTTTAATCAAAACTACCATTTATTTTTGTTTGGTTGAATTTTTAATCTTTCTCGATTATGACACAACACCAAAATTCCACAACCCCAAACACTCCACCAATGCAATCGCCTTACCTTTCTCCGGCTCCCTCCAAATCGATGTCCTCTCCACTACACTTGGCGTCATCGCATCCATCTCCGATGTCTACAACATTCCCCAACAACCCTCTCAACGCGTCCACCATGTCGTACATGTCTACTTCACTCGATTCCGGCTTCTTGCCGTCGCCGGCTCTGTTCCAGGACTGGCTCTCGAGTACTTCCGAGATGATTAAACCAATGGACTCGGCTTTCTTTCAAGAGTGGCTATCGTCTGATTTCGACAAATTTCCCGAGAGTGATGACACCTCTTCGCACACCACGCTTAACAGTCAGACCGTGTCTCCGATTCTATCGAGTGATGTAACGAGTCCGATGACCGTTGTAGGTTTCGATAAAGTTGGAAGCATAGGCGATCTATTTGGATCACCATTGTTCGAAAATATAAATTGCCATGCCGATGAGATGGGCGAGTTGTTTCCAGAGTTGGCAGAAGGAAACGGAGCGCAGGCATCTAACACGTTTAATAACACAAATGGAATCTCATCCTTGGACCGACTTGGTGCTTCTACGAGTATGACTGATGACATGATTAATGCCATTCCACCTTCTACTGTTTCTCTAATCACATCACCAACAACGTCTACTTCGCTTTCGATGCCTCAGTCTAATGCATCACATACGGCTGCTATCTCAAGGACTCTTTCTTCATCTTCATCCTCTTCGTCTTCCTCCTCGTCTTCCTCTTTTCATATACAATCTGGTCTATCACCTTCGGTAACCATCCCTTGGACTGTAGATGAAAACCAAATATCGGAAGATTTGGGTGGGAAAACAAAGCTCAATACGAGATTGACAAAAATTGCACCCAATCCGGGTGTGTATACGCTTGGTCCTAGAAGAATAGGCGTTGGCGTACACAAAGCGTCTGGTGTTGTTTCCTTATCTTCTAATAATGGAGTAATCCAACAAAGCTCAATGTCACAGAAACCTTTTGTTCAGAACGCTCCTTTCTCTCCTTCTTCTCCGGTATCTTCCACATCGACTCCTATCTCGCTTCCATCCCGATCACGGAAACGCTCTAGCTCCGAGATGCAGAAGTCTTCCGACTCCCTCGCCGAAGAGCTCGCCATCAAGCGTGCAAAGAATACCGATGCCGCGCGACGTAGTCGTCTTCGCAAGGTTATGAAAATGGAATCACTTGAAGTAGAAGTCAGTCGGCTAAAAGAAAATACAAATGATTTAGAGAAGAAGATTGCTGTATTGGAAAGTGAGAAGAGGAATTTGGAGGAGAGAAGCGAGGAGAGGGAACAGAGAGTAAGAGAGTTGGAAAAATTATTGAGTGAGGCACATCAGCGACTTATTGGTAAGATTTAGGCGTACGTACGTCATTTTTAGCGAGCTTAGATGTTTGGCGACGCCCCGAGGTATTCTGCGAATACTCGGCATATCGCTTCTTGTCGTTGGGTATGAATTTTCATGTTAAAAATTTTCTTCATATTATACATAGTTTTTCATTTCAGGCTGAATATTATTTTTTTTCTTCATTTACGATTACTTCAACAGTTGTTATTCAATGGGAATTTGTATGAATAAAAAAGTACTTATTAATACTCTGATAAATTTCTTATATTGAATTGACAGTGAAAGTCATTCTGATCTTAACAATCGACAATCATACGTATTTAAAGTTGTCAATAGTCGTAGTCAAGCATACAGAATCCATGATAGCCTTAATATTGCACCCACCATTTAGCAGGGAGTTGAACGCGCGAGGAATAATCGAAAACGGAATGTAGTAAAGCAGCTGTGGGGTTGTCGTTCCCGACGTCTTTACGATAAAAGTTTTGACAATCGATTCATTGGGCAAGGAGATGCTGTACTATCGGCTGGGAACGCGAAGTTGAGAGAGACTGAAAGAGAATACTGTGATACTTTTAGAAAACCAAAGGGAGCAATCATTAAGGGGGATCGCATCGTTACTATTGCTACTCCAAATGTACTTCATTCATAGGACATTATTCATTATTCCTTCCCAATATAGAAATACAAATTGTCAACCGCCAATAGAATTTCGAATTATAGTCATATTATCCCACAAAGTTATCCCACATTTTTAACGTCGTACAGTATATTCCTATATATAGTATTTAACACACAATGCTGACCGGAATTAATGTTTGTCTTTACTTATATAAGAATTATACTGTGCGACGTTAAAAGTGTGTTTTCTTGACCATAATGAATTTCGAATATATTATAATTAGTATAGACCGGCCAATTTGGTCCCAAACCGCAGTCTCATAATCTTATATCGATCCGGTTTCAGGCTGTCTCTCACGGTCTTGTATATCCGGTCTCAGATCACTATAATTTACATTCATATTAATCATGATATTAATATCACCAAATTCAGTATCAACCCAACTTTTGAGACGTAAAGTTGCTCGCCTCATCGATAACGCAGAAAAAAATTAAGCAATTGATTTCTTGTATATGAGGTGGAATGGAATGCTGTGAAGGAAAAAATCCCGGGGTTGTTCTATTAGCGGAAGTTTTCTTGCAGGGAGTTATTTATATAGTCTCTGCTGGGAGAAGTGTTTGTGCTCACATATTGAGCTAAGGCCAATTAATATAATAATATTTCTGAAAATAAAAATTTGTATAATGAAAGTGATTATTATTATGATATCAATTTTTATAGCCAGTCCAGTTTAAACTATACCCACAAATCGAGAAGAATAAATATTCATGCTTTTCTTCAATTATCAATCTCTATTATGGAAACAAAGAAAAGAATATTGTCCTGTTACTAATTAAGAAATCACCATTTACGTGATGTGTCTAACAAGTTAGAAGTTTGTCCCCCAACAGCACATTTTTTAGACTAAGAAACTACAAGTACTGAAGAGACTTTATTTCAGAAAGGAGAGAAGGTAACTTAAACCAGCGTATTTCAGTTACGTAGCCGTTATTCCTGAAAGTAGATCGCGAAAATATCTGGATTGTGTAGATCAAATAAAGACGTTCTTCTGGATCTCTAGCTGGAGTTTCAGCAGTCCACGACAAATACGGCATATGTCAGAAGAGGATTTTAATACATTCACAAAATTAAAATCATGCACACACACGTTTTAACAAAATAAGCTATTTGTTTTTTGTGAATTTCAGCTTTTAGTCTTTCGCTCACGCTGAAATTTACTCTAACAACACTTTGAAGCCAAGTGAGTTTGGGCAACACAATTATTGCTTTTAGGCTTTATATAATGTAAAGTTCTCTGGTATGGGCTACATTTCTTGAAAATTCTATACTAATACGTTCACTTTGTCGGTTAATTTTGCTCAAGGGGATCACATGGTGATCTAATAATGGATATTAATATGTCGGTCAGTGAAAAAATATCGTTTCTAACTACCCTCGATTCTTTGCAATAAATCATGGCACAATATACTTACGACGAACAGGGGGTCACGTTCAACTACTTTCTACTGACAATACTGTCTCTTATTCTTATTCCGACTACGTTGGGACTTTTCAAGAAAGATAAGGGTTCGTTATTTTTCGTTAGATAGAGTTTTTGGATCATCGTAATGGTTCCAGTTGGGGGAAATATAAAAGTAGGCAATGTCGAAATGGAATCATGTATACTATCCGCGAAAATAAGGAGACGAGAGAAAAATGAACAATATTAAAATGTAGTAGTGTGTAATAACCCTCGTGGACTAAAGTATGGTATTGTGTTAGCTATCGAATAACGGGGAGAGACTAATTACTATGAATGTTACGAGTTCAAAGCATATTCACTATCTCTGTTCAAATAACAATTCTATGTACTCACTCAACAGACCAGAAAACACGCCCGATCAAATGTTCTTGTCATGCCTGTAAAATAAATAACGATTATGCCCAAACGCAGAAAATTAAGTCCAGTCTCGGTTTGATCAATAAAAAGTACGATCTCACTTCCTCCTCAAAAATGTTGAAACGCCTTTTCTCACGAATGATCACCTTCATTCATTATTGTTTTTACAGGACCGTGTTATTGGGAGTAGGCTGGGCTCTGTTCGCGTATATATGCTATCAGATTGCCAATACAACGGTCGATTATCAGATTTGGGATCCGTATCAAGTGTTAGGGTTGAGCGAGGTATGATCGAAGTCAAAAATAGGTTTACTGGATGTAAACACATTAGATTCGAACTGAAGCTTGTTGTTTAAAAAGGGAGCAACGATGGAGGAGATTAAAAAGCATTATAAGAAGCTCAGTCTGAAATGGTACGAGTTGTAATATTCAATGTTGAGATTACGACCGAAAGAGTATTTATACATATTAACGTGATTTAGGCATCCTGATAAAGTTTCAGAAGAGAATAAGCAAGAGGCTGAGGCCATATTTATCGAATACACTAAAGCATACAAAGTGTATGTATAATTATGCTATTATCTGTATTCACAGACAGGAGTATGATTTGATTTACAAATTTTACATCACATCAATCTAGTCTAACGGATGAAGAAATCAGAAAGAATTATGAAGAATGGGGCCATCCGGATGGAAAACAAGGTGCTGTCTAGGTTCAACTCGTTGGATTAAAAATTACCGATTGCTTACTGTTTACTTTTTTAAATGTCAGCATACACAATGGGAATAGCTTTACCTAAATGGATAGTTGAAGCACAAAATAACGTATATGTCCTTGGAGTATATGGGATTCTATTCGGGGTATTTCTCCCCTACTATGTGGTATGTATGCATCGAGACATCATGTGGTTATGGGCCTTATTATTTATTGATATATTAGGTACCAGTATTTCACTCTTTTAATATTAATACTAATCCTTACAATTCATACAAATTTTAGGGTCAATGGTGGTACAATTCCAATATGTATACGAAGCACAAGATTCTAACAACTACAATGAAGACATTTTTTAAAGGCGTTAACAAAAAGACTAGCATTGGATCTTTATTAGAGCTTTTATCGGCTTCGACGGAATTTGAGATATTAGTTAAACAACGTCCATCAGACCAGGTGACTGTGCCAAAAATAATATCTGCAGTCAAAGGCGAGTTAGACAAAAGATTTGGAGAGAAGTATGAACAGAGTAAGAAGGTGAGCATTATAACATGAATTGGTTGCGACACTTCGATTTTAATATTAAACATTACTTATTGTTAATGACGTGATAGTACAATAGTCCGTACTGTCAGAAAGCACATGCTTTATTATGTGCTCATCTCTTAAGAGTTAAAGTTGAAGATGAGAATCTTTCAAAAGGTATATTACTGCCTAAAATATTACGATTGTGTAATTAATCGAAGACTAACTTTTTTCTTAATCAATTATCATAGATCAAAAGTTCATAATAGAAAGATCACTCTATCTTATTAATGGACTAATTGAAATTTCCCTTGCCCATCGTTGGCTTCCAACCACGCTCTCTTGTATGCGTCTTGCACAACAACTTGTGCAAGCAGTATGGATAGAAGAGGATCCTATTGTTCAACTGCCATACATCACACACGAAAAACTCAAATCAATGCGGAAGAAGAAGAAAAGTATTGTACAGTTGAGACAAATGAATGATGAAGAGAGAAAGTAAGATGACAACAATATATGTTCGCAGGCTTATTGACGGGTTATTGAGATGAAAATTTTATTCTTGACTGAATTAGAGGTGTATTAAGTAACTTTACTGACGAAGAGTATGATGACATACTGCGTGTCGCTAAAGCTTATCCAATGATGGAGTTAGACGACGTTGACTTGAAAGGTAGATTTTCTCATTAGTCCGACGTTTGAAGGTTTCTATTGTGCTCATTTTGCTTACAAATTGTTCCTACAGTTGTTGGGGAAGAACACGTGACTCCAGGTTCTATAGTCACATTTACGGTGACATTGAGTATAATGGGTAGCGGAGATTCCAAATCCAATTCCAAAGCAAAGGCTGAAATAGTTTCAGGATCTAGTAACAGTCTACTAATACTGGGTGATGACGAAGAGAAATCCTACGACTACTCAATATTCAAAGAACAAAATACCGAACCGAGTCCATTAGCACATGCACCATACTTTCCTTGTGAAAAGAAACCATGCTGGTGGATTTTTATAGCTGATGAAAAGCTAAACGCAATAATCGCTGATCCAGTGAAGGTCTCTGACATTGTAACATCCAAAACTATCAAGCTAATGTTCCAAGCACCACCACAACCAAATATTTATACTTATACGGCGTTCATTAAGTGTGATTCTTACATCGGCACAGATCTCAAGAAGGATTTGAAAGTGAGAACGTACCACATAATTTAGTATACGATACGATCGGATGGCTAATACTATATGCACAATTTCACTGGCTAACTGGTTTTTAATATTATCTAGCTTAATGTCAGAGACCCTGCTGAACTTCCTCCGGAACCAGAAATTGATGAAGAAATCTCCGAGCCAGACGAAGAATCATTTCAAGGGCAAATGAAACTCATGCGAGAACAAGGCCTTGCAGCAGCCGTTGCTGGTAATGAAGGTAACAAAAACGACTCGTCCAGCGACAGTGATAGCGATTAGTCTGGCACAGCTGGACAGACTTTATAGTGTCAGCTTTCGTACACGCGCTCGAGTTTTGTTGAAAAACGTCAAATAAGACTTTATGAAAAGGTCATTGGTGATAGCTGTATCTGCGTGGCAGTCTTGGTGGAAACAAATGTACATCAAGTCTAACGAAAGATGAGTCAGAAAACACATATACTGGTTCTACGAATTGTCGAAGTACTCGGCAATTACATAATCTAAAATAAAACAAGTAACAACACGATAAAATATTAACGAACTATGTGTAATAATTAATGTGTCGCTGTGTGCGATATGTAGTCGAAATGGTTTATTAGGAATTAGTTTGTCAATTGTCTTACGTCTTGCAGCATGGTTTGAAATACCCCAGCAAACAACTTACACTAAAATGGAAATTCGCTTGACCAAGTATATACATAATACATTCACGGCAGATGAATAGTGATTGTTGGAATTGACAGTATTTTGTAAAAAAAAAAAGATCTCAAGACTCCAAGTTTTGATTATCTCATTCGTGATATAACACCCAAGCGTAAAAGACAGAGCACAGTTTTCGAGAAAAACGCGACGATCCCCATTTGGTATTTTCAGTTTGATGTGACCGCTGGTCATCACAAGCTTGCATTTTTTCATTGATCATGCACGCTGGCATTTCAATGAGCAAAAAACCCAGCTACTGAAACTCGAATCCTTATCGAATAAACGAGGTCGGAACTGACTTTGTCAACCGAGTTGTGAAAAAACTCACTATTGCGTCAGCCATTGAAATTTGGATAGTATGGTATAAATCATATTATCGTCTATTCTATTCTATTCTTTATAAATAGTGTTTCAATTGACACAATAGACGCATGTGAGTAATAATAGAGCTTGTTAAATTTATTATATTCATCCATAATAGAGAATAGTTGCAGATTACTTTCGTTACACTTTGTAGCCACGAGACGCTCTGCGACCACGAGCCTTTTCGAATTTCCTGCCCTTGGATCGCACATATGGTCTTCAAGATTATAATACAATTGCAGGGTAGTCATAGAAAAAAAAAGGCAATAGGATAATGCATAAGTATAATAAGATTGTTAGTTCATGTTTGAATCACTATCTCTCATACGCGGAAACAATCTCCATTTGTAAAACTCTCGGATTCATACAAACATCAGTAAACCGAAACCCGAACATCCCACACCCACACCCTCTCTAAAGCAAACCAAAACATACTTGGCGTGTGATTTAGGTCCGTCTCCAAAGTGCTTAAGTGCCTTGCGCCCATTTCGTTTTTCCTCTCAATAGTACAGTCTTGGATCCAGTTGGTGCGCGTTTTGCCAACTCGTCAAAAGTGATGACCTCTCCGCCGGCTTTCAATATCCTTGCTTTTACCGTCTTAGTGAAACGTAATGCGCACACGGTAATTTTCAAATCGAAATCAAGTAACCGATCATCGTCGACAACAGTTCCGACGAACACGCACGTTTGGCTGTCCTTTCTATCTCTCATAAATCTATGAATACGAGACAGGGAAAGGGTAGCACGGTTGACGCGAGACATCATTAGGCGTTTCAAGACTGCTCTGTTGAAGCGTGAATCCGTGCGGCGGGCTAAAAATCTATATAACTGAATTTGGTGATCCGTAAAGGTAAAAAATGGGTCATGTTAGATAAAGAGACATGAATTTAATGTATCATCTACAATTAAATATCATGAGATTCCCAACATAATAATCTCTCAGCTGCTTAAATCCCACGATTTTACGGCGTATGCTAGTAGTTGCTTTATCTATACACCAGAGTGAATTGAAATCCGCGAATTACCTTCACCAACAATCTGAGGTAGACATTTTCGCTCTTTGGCTCAGTGCGAGCACTCTTTTTGACATGATGTTTGTCAATGTCAATACCCTAAAGATAGGAATTAGAATGCTTTAGAATTTGATCATTGAATATACGCCAAGCGATCAAAAGGATAACAAGTAATCATATAAGTGAGATCTATGTGAGCTCTTTTGGACGGTTGTTTCCCTCGACATTCAGTCTCTACAGAATTACTGTAAGATCACCTCAAATTACAAGCTCTTGGTTTGTTTTGACTTTAAACTACTTATCAAATCTATCCATCCATTTACTCATTTTCCTATTAACATTCTTGTAATATACCAGTCACTCTCCAAGCTATGTGGCTTCACATCTCTGCACTCTTATGCTTATAATTGCGTACCATGATCGATTGTTTATTAAGTGGTGAAAAGAGAGGACGAACGGTAGCCGTAATGCGATAATATTTAAAGTTGGGAAAAATTCGATTGAACGATGACGTCACAACTTGTGTGACTGGCTCATATTAATTGATTTATTTAATTATCGTGATGGTAAATCAACATACTATATTAACCATATACATAATATATACATTTCGCTCTAATTAGCAATTCTCCCGCACTTTAACTCTGTACCCACCTTTTAACCGAAGTCGGGACGTCATCAAATCCCTCTATAACCTCTCTAATCTCCACTGGTTCCATCATCAATCTCATCATTTTATACTCCTTTGAACATTTCAATCCTCCTTCTACAGGCTTTACAAGTTCCATTTGGATTAAATGCTCAAAAGCCTTCAACGCTACCGGCCATTTATAAGCATGCATACCAACACCTTTTACTGCTTCCGAGAATGTGAATTCTTTGTATTCGTCGTAAACCATGGAAAAGTTAAACGTAGAATAGGAGCGAGATAATAAATGCTTTATGCTGACAAGAAGGCAAATCTCGAGAAGGGATAGGCCTATTCGCAATCAGTTCAGATTAATTAGAAGGCTAGCAAAGGGTCAAGACACAACAGCCATTGAAACGTATACGTACCGCGTAAAAGCTGGGTTCTGGAATCGCTTTGTTGTTGCCCATTGGATGATTGAAAGTGACTGGCTTTTTAAGAATGGAGACGCTTGTGATAGCTGGGCAACCGGCTTAAACTGCGTAACGATCAAATGTGAGTGAAAGTGAGTATGAGAATCCATTAATCGTGGTTAGAACATGCAGACATTAATAATTGCTTACGCATATGCGATAAAATGTTCTTATATCGCGTGTCATGTCAAAGATGCGCCGAATTATTTTTCGGAAACTATCGTTATCAAACAAATCCTATGGTTGTTAAAGTGGATATAAACTAAATTAGTATGATTTGGAGAATATACAAAAAAGATGAAATTGTAAATACATGCATTTAGCTCCTCATTGAACGCATTCTTATAGTCCTCATCCATGCTCTCTGTTGTTAACGTTAATGAATTCCTCGCTATTTGTAAAAAGATCTCAAACGACTTGGCCGGAAACAGACAATACTGTCGATGAGAAAAACGTGACTTGACACGTTTCTCCAATAGATCCATTGCGTCCTAGACCCAGTCCATGATGCATACATTGTAAACAAATAAAGAACGCAAAACTCCATGATGCATACATAGTCTTAGTACCCAAAAATGCAACGAAACGACAACAATCTGATTTCTAATACAAACATACGATTCTGCAGGTCATTCCAACAACAGCGACCGGTGTCTGATTGTTCATTGCTATGTCGAATAGGTTGTACAGCAGCGCTTGTTTGCTATGCTGTGCGAATTAATCAAACTCGTCCAGCGTAAATATGATAGGTTTGGCAATTTTCGAGCCTGACTTCAATTGAGTTAATACAAAGGATAGCGTATCTGCAAAAGAATGCTATGGTATTTTAAGTTTCAGTATCATTAGTATTTTGATTTGTAACATGGCGCGCATACATACGTATACTTTTCCCTCCAGTTCATGTTCAAGCGATAGTTGACGGGCTATTTCGCGAAGAGCAAGTCGATCATTAGGTAAAGTGAAGCCATTGAGATAGACTGTAATAAAGCTGTCATTGTACATGGATTGCAGAGTCTGCAGTGCTTTACGGACTATCTTTAATGAGAACGAGGGGTGATAAAGGGTTAAATGACTATCTGAAAAAAAGTAGAGCATCTAATAGATAAATACCAGTGTTTTTCCTGATCCTCGTGGACCAATAAGAAGACAGGAGTTGCTTTCGCCGAGAGATATAACCCTCTGTAATAGATCAAAGACTTGGCTATTGGGTGATTAACCAAAATATAACAGTCAAAATACTGAGATGCTGGAATAACCCGATTTAATACCAATCCAACCATCGTGTTCTAACTTTACCCGTACTGCTCCTCAACCCCTATGAGTTTCGACGGAATCGCTCGTTCTGACAACTTTGCCATAATTGCATTTCTAGTTTTCGCGATGTCCTCTGTTGCCCATTGCTCTTTGGCATCTATATATAGTGAACCGTTGATAAGCCTAAACCTTTAATATTTAATATAACATAGCGTCGCACCCTGAAAGTACATATAGAGTCACCCTTTGATAGAATTCTTACTTTGCAAGTCGGTTGATGGAGACATGGTTTGCAGAACGCGTTCTGCAGCTGGTGTAGCACTAAATCAATACAATGATCGGCCATGTGATCTCGAGAGTATGTGCAAGTTGAGTCAACATACATAGTCATTTCATTTTACCAAAAGAATCTGAGGCCATTGTGAGTAAACGAATTATTTGCCAACGGCTTGTTGGAAATAAAACAAGACATAGTTCATCGACTATTCTTTAATGCTTTTGTCGTGTTCTTATTCTACAGAATGGGACATTTTACGAATGATTATAATTAGCGTTGTAGGCCATGGCATATTAATATTTCTGCTGCGAGATATTTAGCTTGCCAGAGCTATAGTTTATATCGAAAATCGTAGCCGATTGGCAATTCAACATCAAGATTCTGTCAACATATCATAGGAAATACTTATTAACTGTTATTATTATATGTTACCGAAAGAATTTAATCAGGTAAACACAAAGCCCAAGAACTACTAATTATCTGAAAGTATCGCTTAACACATCAAATCCGAATAATGAGTTAGGTTTCGTATTAGAGAAAGTCAAAACTAATGCGTTTTTATCTAAAATGCGATAATTTAAAATATAAACATGATGCACTAGGAATATTAATAAGATATGACCACGTCTGCTCTGTGTCTAATGTGAACTTTCATCTGAATTTTTCCTCATAAAGCTAAATAGACTTCTGTGGAAGGGGCGTTTATGAATAGTCATATGATCATGTCCGTCGTCGGAATCCTCACGTCGATTTTTCAAGTTGCGCTGGTTTTGGTTACATAATTTTCGACCCGCCCAAAGTTGTTTGAGTAGTTCACATTGTCTATTAAGCTCGCTTTTCAACTTTACAACTTCCTGATGGTCTTGCTCGAGTTCTTTAAGGTTTGCCTCGAGCCAAGTTTCAACACGTTCGCTACGACGATTTATGATTTCATCAATAAATTTGTTGTATTGCTCAACCCATTCAGCATCGTCTGAAGCAGATGATCTTTTTCCATAATATTTTTCGAAATATTCAAACAAAATCTTGGACGTTCCAGTAAGATCTTCTCCATTCAAAACAAGCCCAGCATCTGATAATGGTATAAATGAATTTTTTGAACTTCTGAACAAGTCAAACATCGGTATGTCTTTATCATCGACACAATTTCTGCCGTTGTGAACCTGCATTTAAAATTAATTAGTCAAATATTAATCATAAATGTTACAGCTTTCAGAAATTATAATTACATTACCATAAACTCTTCCTCATTGATATCGTAGTCATTCGGAAAAATAGACTCGTGGCCGTGAGCCACAACATTTGGCATGGTAGCCTTTAATTTTGCGATAATAAATCTATTTTCATTCAATGATGTCCACTCGCATCCCTATACACGAAAATTTGTCAACGTAAAAGTTTGCGTAAAATCCGGTCATTAGTGCAATGACTTACTGTTAGTTTTGCCATTATAAGCTTAAGCATTGTCAGAAAATGAGAAGCATTGTCATATTTTTTAGGTGCCTTGGTTTCCAGTTTAATCTTGAGCTCGTCAAAGGCTGTATAGAACTCTGTAAAGTTCGAGGTAAAAACTCTTAATAAATGTTACAAATTTCAATTTACTGTAATAAGAATTTAAGTATCCTCACCCGAATTATTACCCGTTGGCATACTCATTTCAACACCATACAATTTTGAGATAACATTGTTCTCTCCTTCCTAAGAAACATACGTTTATATTAATATTACGTCTTTGAAGTTAAATAATTTGCCGACACATGCATGTCACACTTACAGTCTGGACGAGTTGGGTGAACTTTTCAAAGAACTCTCGGTAAATTGTTTCTACGTCAACGTCTGGCACATCTTTGACGATTGTATAAAATAATGCCTGCACAAATTATTAATTAATAATGCACCTCCGAACCAAATTGATTTTCGTGATTGTAGAATATACCTACTTGGAAAATATTTTCCACTTCTTTAATATCACCAAAGCAGGAGCTTTCGAGTCCAAACTTGTCGAATTTATCTGAAATATTTTTACTGATATGAAAAGAACTCGTGAACAGTACCATCGTCGATATACTAGAAAGCAAATCCCTATTTAATAAAATAAACGCGAGAAAACTTAATCACGTGATTTTAATATCAACCTTATGTTAAAGAGAGTTAAAAGGAGATTTTCTTGTGGAGTCCTGCCATGAGGTTTGAGCCCTAGAGAGGGAATATAAGAATGTCAATAGGGTTGTAAACCTGACCATATGATTAACTTTTTTAATAGACAGACTTACCCTCAAAATTCATTCCAACGTATACTTTGTCTCCTTCATATGCTGCCCAAAAATCTCAGTTAGTGAAAAGAAATTACAGATTGTAATATTAAAACAAGCATATTACCTAAAGACAGCCAGACGCCTTTGTTACTATGCTAACAAAAAAAAAAGGGTACTTAAAACCCCGTCGTTTGTCTATGTGTGTAATCAATAGTAATAAATTAATCGCTTACCGTCGTCGCAGAGTCATCAAAGTTCGTACCGATAAACTGGTTAAGCAAATACGATTCCTCACGTGACTGTTCACCCATAGTAGAAATAACGTCCACAGTTTTATTACCGAGATATTTGAGGATTGCTTCATAGTAACCAAGTGAGATTGATTGACAAACTTCTTCGACGTTTCCTCTATCTTGAACTGGTAAGCCTTCACGTAAGATTATAAACTGATTATTTTTTGCCACGGCAATTTGAATCGGTATGAGTGTGCATAATCGAATAATCCAACTATTAAGAAACAACGGGGTTTATTTTTTGTAGTCAGAAAGCAAGGAATAATACCATTAAAGTAAACCCGACTCACCGGTCAGCTTTGTAACTCGAAGCAAATGTTTCTAAATTATCATAAAATAATTTATCGTCGAGTCTTTTGATCTGCGTGGAACCACCCCTTAATAATGAGGTGTCCTTTTTTGTTGTGTAGCCAAGTCTCTTAAGCATGTATTCAATGCAACATTCTTGAACCTTGACTAAATCGACTGCAGAATCTTGTGGCAGGTCCAAAATCACAGCAAGTTCAATCGGGGTTGTACTATCATTTATGGATGACTGTATAGGATATTTCACCAATAGTTTTGAATACACGTCGAGATAACCGTTTGATTGCATTGGGTCTACATCCTCATTTACGCATGGCCGTATTTGTTGTGATGTCGTTTTTTCTTCTATTTTATATTCATTCCATATACCAGGGATGAATGCCAATGGAAAGCCACCATCACCAACTTGTAAACTAGTATTGGTAAAGACACGAATGACAGGCCTTTTTTCATGATTAATAACCATGTATTGGCCTACCTTTACATCTTGAATGAAACGAGTATTTGTACCATGGACAAATGATGTATCACTTTGATCAATTGTGACTTTGCCCATAATTTTAACTTTTACTGAAACTAATTTCCTGAGTGCCAGATTGAGCATGACCAAATGCTGTTGAGTTTGTTCAAAAGTAATGAATTGACAATGTGATAACCATTGTGAAGGTAAAGGGATAACTTTAAGTGGCTCAGTATCAATATCAGACTGACCTACAAAATATACAAGTGCTTGTCCTGTATTTAAATTTGTATCCTGTGGCATTGAATCAGCATAACTTGCACTCTGAACATCTGCCAGTTGTGTTTTTAATTCCCTGAGTACAAATATACAAGAACCATTGGGTGAGCTGAGAACAGATGTTGCATCTGCAGGAAATTTTGCAGAGATTCTCAATGAATTACTATCCAGATTAAGGTAATATGACTGTCCATTATTTTCAACTAAACAAAGTAGTCTTCTTGTAGTATTGTTGATCCAGAAAAAATGCTTGATTGCTGGTAACCCAAGAAATTCAATATATATTATTGCTTTGTCTTTGTCAAGATCATATATATGAAGCTAATAATAAAAAATAGGATGAAATATTTTAGCCAAGATAAAGTTATACTATAATATTAATATTAATATACAAAAAAAAAAAGCTATGCCACATACCATGCAACTCCCAATTTCATAGATTGCTATCAGACCCTTTGAATCATTTACTGCAAACAGTGAATTTTCTGAGACATCTAATGATGCTGTTGGACATGGGAAGCCTTTTCTTCTGAACATCATCCCCAAGGAAGCAAGTGATTCATAAAAAATAACATAAACACAATATCTTCTATCCCATAAAATAAGGACTAATTTTTCATTGCTAAACTGATAAATTTTCCTAAAAATTGTTCATTAAGTGTGTTAAGCTACAACTTTGACTGTTTTATACAAGATATATCAATATCTGATAACTTGCCTGATTTCATACATCTCCCTGTCAATATACAGAACCCTTAGATGTGGGAAAGTTTCCACATACTCACTGCCATACTTATACTTCTCAAGATTTATACCACATATCTTGAGCTCACACAAAGAAGGCTCATTATCATCTATTTCAATAATATAATGCAACTTGTATTGATCAGATGGTATTTTGTGCAAATTTGTAACAACAAGCTTCACCCTAAATAAATAGATAAACATCAATCAGTTTCCTGTACTTATAATAGTGTAATGTTGTATCAAAAATGTACTCACCCAGTAAAGTACAATGATTCAAGTTTGGTTCTTAATACAGCTGACTCATCTTCAATGATATGTCTCTTTTCTCTTGTGTATCTTTTGAAGTACTTGTAATTGTCTTTTAGGTTTGTATTTTCCTCCAAATACTTGCTTAGCTTCTCAGCAAACTCAGATCTCCAATTCTGAATTTCCTTGACAAATACTGTAATAATGCCTTCCATCACTGTGTCAGGACTTGTCAGTTTCTGTAAATTGTATAGACAAGTAATAAAACCTGGATCTGATATCTTCTCTGCCACTTTTTTAGCTTCCTCAAGAATTTCCTTGGACTTTTGATCACACTTTTCTTCTGGATTTGCTTGGTTCATAAAAAATGTTGCCACTCTCTGCATTGTACTAGTATAATTAATAAAGTCAGCCATGCATATTGCAGGCCAATCAATACATTAATTAAAATAAATTTTTGAATGTAATTACTATATGTATATATCTTTTTCAAACCTTTTGATTTCATCAATTTTTCTGCTTTCTTGAGCATCTAAAAATATATCAAATCCACCTTGTGCCAGTCCACTCAAATAATAAAACCTTTCTTTCAACAATTTCCAGTTCTTGCTATCAATTGTTAATGCCATGCTCTTTATTTGCTTACAAAGTTCTTTATGTTGCATATAGAACGTATTAAGCTCTATCATTAATTTAGAAAAAGTTGTTTAGTGTTAAGGACTTTCAAAAAATTTTTTTTAAAAAAAAATTACCAGGACTGTCTTCCAGTGAGCTTAGAGGGGCTTCTTTGGTCTTCTCTTCAGAGATGCTGATTAGGAATTTAAACAATTTTAATTACCTGACATTTCTCCTTGAATTGCCTATTAATTTGACATTATTACAGAATGCAAAATACTCTGGTGTTTACCTGTAATTGTCTTGCAAAATTGAAAAGGCCCACTCAGTCACTTTCTCTTTGTATTCACTAATGCTTTTTTCTGTTCTGTCATTTAAGTCTTTCAACTGATTTTCATAATCTTCTAAGAGTTCAGGCTGATTTAAACCGTCTTTGATCAAAATTATTAACCCATCCATGCTCAAATTAGGTGCACTCAAGGCATAGTAGTTTTCATTCACTAGTGGTCCCCAGAATTGTTGAAATTCACAGGAAGAATCAAATATATCAACCTTTTCTGACATCATTGTGGACTTATTATGGTCTTGCATAATAGCTACAGATTGTAGAGTAGTTGATTCTATAATATAAGCTTTTGATAAATTTTGACTATATAGAAACAATTCTGGTATTTGGATCTAGTAGTTACATATTAGTCAGAAAATTTTTGTATATATATCAGTATAAAACGAAGCACTATTAGTTACTATTATATTACCTCGAACCCATTTTCAATTAAGACAGTTATTTCTTTTTTCTGTTCTTCAATTTTAAGATTAGCACTCTTATCCAATGTTTGCTTGCCTGAATCAGAAGTTAAATTCCAGTTAAATTTCTTTAAATCATTTTCGCTCATTAAACAAACTTGATGATCTGTCAATCGTGTGAGAAACCTTAGGGAAAAAAAATAAAATTGTAAACAAAATATTAATATTGGTTTTTATATTTTAAAAGGTGTAAATATAGAAAATTGATATTTACTGATAAAGATTTACAGCATTATTGTCATGATAGAATCGCTCTTCTGACCAAAGAATCACAAGGCCCAAGTCTGGCTTAAGCATGAGTAAATAGAACCCATTATCCAATGTTGATTTTTCATTGTAAACTGTCTCAGAAGTCTGTTCAGATTCTTTGCATCTGCATATTAAATTGTACCACTATCAAAAAAAGTAACAGAAAAGCAACTAAATATCTTTTAATAGCACTAACCTAGACTCTTCCATGACATTGTTTTGTAACAGCCATTTGAAGATAACCTCACAGTTACCATAACAGCCAATAAGACGAATGGGGACTTCCGCCAATCTTTCAAAACCGATATCGGAGATAGAATGGTAGCTTCCAGGGGCCAATAAATTACAAACTTTTTCTAAATCAGATGGTTGTATAACAATGCTTTGTGCTAAAATATGGCAAAGAAACATACAGCAGGTCAGCGAAAAGCTCGCAATTTACATCTTTTCAAGAACGTGTGTTAGATAATCTGTAGTCATACCTGAATCTTCATCCGTATAAAATTCGGCAAGTTTATATAAATTGGGAATTTTCGAGAATTGATTAGGTTTACTTCCATAAATGTTCGGAGAAATTTCGGAAACCGACGACGATGCTGTGTTTTCTGTATTCATATAAAGTATCAAATCGCATATTCACACAACTTAATGACAAAGACATTATATGTCTGCGGATTACCATAGACATGGGCTTCTTGATTATATCCAGCCATGGTATCAATTTGCGCAATATGAAAATATTGTTTGTCTAACGCTATGCTCTTATCCTACGTAGCTTGGCAATGGAGGTATAAATATATCGCTGCGCTTTTATAAACACTAACACATAGCGTATATTTAACCATTTATAGAAGAACAATGGCGAAGTTTCACGAGTCACCGATACAAGTAGCACAAACTAAAGATGCAACGATAACTATGCCGGTTATAGTAATGCGTATCGAACGGGTTATCTTTCGCTGATCCATTAAAATTCTCAAATTTGTACATTGGTAATACACAGTGAAACCGAAGGTGCAGACACTCTTTCCTCATTATATTCATTCTCAATTAGGAGATACAGCGAAGACTTTGTTCATACTTACTGTATATATAACGATTTTCAGTGTCTAATGCTTTAAACTCCGAAGAAGCTTGTTACACAACAAAGGTCTAATACAGAGAAATTTATAAAATTTATTATTAAAGCTTTGGTGCAGCGATTATAAGCAAAATTGTTATACACAGTGAAAGTCGATATAACGGACCATCGATATAACGGACTTTTTCTCTGGAACGGAATTTGTTTACTAAATAATATCTGATATAAAACTCACAAGTCGATATTACGGATTAAAATGCTGGTCCCGAACAGTCCGTTATATCGACTTTCACTGTGTATATAGGTTTACTGTGTACGCAATAATTAGAATCCTAATTTATAATTACAGCCCGCAATCAGACACTTTGAGCACAATTATCGGTACTATTACGGTTCAGCATTAATTGCGTCAATAAATGCGTATTAGACTATAAGCATTATACAAGCGTCATTCCTTTCTTGACTTGGAGTGATGTAGAACAATACAATTAAGATTATAGGAATTTGTTGGGTGTTCAATGAGCTCTTATTGTGAATAAATACAATGGAATAGATTTGCAATTAAGACTACCTAAATTAGATTTAATATTAACATTGCAAAAAAATGTATACGCATATACTTTTAAAGCACATGCTATCAGTGAAATATAAAGTTTAGCATCTGAACGTATTTATTGTTTTAGGTTTGACTTATAAATGGCATCACCGCATTACGTAATTTTCTTACCGCCAATACGCTATCAATCTCTCCTGAAATTACTATATTATCTTGCATGGAAAACGTTACAATAAACGTAATTGGGCGATTTTGGAGCCGTGAAAGCGGAATTAGAGTCAATAATGCATCATAAGACTTGATAATGTGGTAAAACATGTTCAATAGAATAATTTAGTGATTAGCGCATTATTAATGAAGGAGTTACATAATCCCAGAAGATTTATTACATGCAAAAGCGTTGAAAAAAATAACTATGTTGGAAGAATTTGTAATTTAAAGTGTCAATTAAATCTGTAATAAATTTACTTTTGAAGTACTGATTATATAATGATCTGTTAGTATAATGAAGATTCACGTCATTTATTATAATTCTGGTCACTGTGACATATAGTTCAAAGTACCCCAAATTGAGAGGGTCCCTAAACATTTTTCTTATTACAGTATTATCTCAATCGGCTGGATTGTGATAGCAGTCATGGTTATCAATAGTAGGGATCAACATGCCCGATGCCGATTTTTATATATGAAATTCTTGCTCCGGCGTCAGTTACTCCTATAGCAACCCCCTATTGACACAAATTACCCCTGATGGTTTATAGACAGAAAATGCACATGAGAAGTTTGTCTGTTGAGTCGTATACTGTAACAATTTGCAAATTGTTACGATTACGATATTGCAATATCGTAATATTGAGTAATAGTGAAGACGATACTATTTAGTGTATAAATAATATTAATATGTTTACGCTTTTATTGCATCATTATTTAGTTATTATGTAGTCATAATTATACATATATTTTTATACCATATATCGTCGCGGGAATATGTAAATATAAAAGAACATTATCTTATTTAGTAAAACAATGACTTTTTAGCTGAACGTCTAATAAACCGTCAACTGACTTTGAGATTACTAACATTATTTCGAAGTCTTTTACATATACGCTTTAACTTTCTCTTTCCTTGGCTTTCTTAAAGATCTTGGTTTGAAGTTGGAATAGCTTACCCCCCTGTAATAAGTATTAGATACTAAACTTGTTAAGCGTTTGCTCTAGTATTTTATTTCACAACTTTTATATCAACTCATCTAACTCACTTGGACAATAGTGATAGAAAAGTCTGTGCTAAATAGCATATTGCGAACTTCTATATAAACTCGACTTTCGGTTACAAATACTTCCAGCTATTTGCGTAGTTGCGTCGGCGGGATCAACTTGAGTGTATTATACGTAGTAGAAGTGCGAATATGAAAAGTCTATGCGTATGAATGAACTGTTGCAGACACTTCTGCCTCTAACTGGAATATTACTATTGGTGTTGTTATATATATATTTTAATATATGCTTACTCACGAAGCTAACAAGTCATTCAAGTCATGTCTCTTAGTAAAACTTGCAGTCTGTACCAATTACCGGATGTGAGACATATGATAAACACATTCTACCCAACAGAAACCCAAAACACCCGATCGTAAGTAGTAAGGTTATATTAAGACAATACCGTTGAAAAATACCTTCATAAGCAAACCTTCGAAAGCTACAATAAAGACATCTTTGTGCCATAATAACATTTTGAAGCACTTTTTATTCGCTATCTAAAACGGCGTAACTGCTTAAAGATCTTGGCTTCGAAAAAGTGGTCGTTTTGGTGTCTAAGTAAAGTCAACGTACAGTCAAGTAAAGAGCGTGCTGTTGGTGCGTAATAAAAGTGCGAAAGGCAGAGATTTAAGGTCTAAGAACGGTTCAATATCAGCTATTGGGAACATTCTTTACTCCTTGAAATCTTAGACGAATGTTACACAAAAAATTTTAACTATCGACTAGTAACGACTTTGTAGCAAAATTTAAATCTATACCAAATTTACGGGCACATTATTAAAATTTTGTGTGTATTAGTATGGTGGGGGGACACAAGTACGCATTTTTCAAGGAGAAATCATTACTAAATGCCAGTGATCAACTATATTACAGGTTTTCCAACCTAACATTCTCAGTAAACGGTTTTGAGAAAGTATTGATAATTTTCCAATTCGAGGAATATTCATACAGAATGCATCGTATTAGGGGTCCATGGTTATTGTTATGCAGCAATGCCGCTTAATATGAAATTAAACTTAGTTTGTAGAATTGATATTAACATCTGATGCATTTGTTTGTTAAAAATAAATCACGTGAATTCAATATTCGTGGTTCTCCCTAAATGCAGGTTTTTCAGAGTCCACTGTATTTATAGTATACTACTGTATTTACACAAAACGTCATCTACTACTCCTATACCTATTATGTCTATGAGCAAAATATCTTACAAAGGATGCTTAGAGGCAAGCATTCAAGAGGGGGCAATATACTGCTGTCTGGAAAGCGATCTCTCGGTCGAATCTATGCCAATGGCCAGTGGTGCGTCAGGAGTTGTATACAAAGCGACGGTTAAGTCCAATTCATCCTTCGGCCAGAAGCAAGATATTCCATCCGGCATGACCGTTGTGGTGAAGACCTTTATTCCGCCCGTACACGGGAATCTGGATGATTTTCACAGACTGTTTATTCGAGAGGTTAGTCATTCCAACCCTTATTATTATTGTATATAAATGCTTCCGTTTTTATAAGTTGATTTTTGGTATTATCATCATACATTAGTTGAATAACCATAGGCAGGCAAATGGCCACCCTAACATTATCCGTTTTCTAGGCCTATTCAAAGGTTTGATAATTTTGCAACTCAAAACTTGTTGAGAGAAAGAGTAACGACTAATCCAGCTTCTATGTAACAAAGTCACAAATGATAATTATAGTATGATTTTTGAACTAGCTGACGATGGGACTTTGCGTCAACACTTAATGAGACACTTTCAGAATCTGACGTGGAAAGACAAATACAAATTGGGTTTAGATATTGTCAACGGGTTAAGATACTTGCATTCGCTTGGTATAATTCATAAAGATTTGGTACGTATTGCAGATTGATCGTCTCTTTAGTCATCGTTATTATATTTAAATAATTTCGATTTTATGAAATACTAATTTACGTTATTTATTTCAGTCTTCCAACAATATTCTTGTGCAGTCAGGCACTGCAAAGATAGCAGACTTCGGTTTGTCTAGTGTTTTGAAACAAATGTCGCCATCGCATGGTCTTGGCACCCTAGCATACAAAGATCCAGCATCTTTTATTACGCCTAGCTCATTGTGTGGATACACATTGTCCAATTCCCTTTTAAGAAACAATAATAAGAAACGTGGAAGGGAATCCGATATTTTCGGCCTTGGTGTAATACTTTGGGAGATCTCAAGTGGAAAGATTCCGTGTGAAGGACATACAGACAGTGCCGCAATCATTGTGTATAGACTTGAGGGCTCTCGTGATGCCCCATTTCCTGGAACATCTGTAGAATATATTGTTTTATATTCGGAATGTTGGGACGAAAACCCCAATAAGCGGCCTTCATGTGAAAACGTCTATAAACGATTAAAGTATTGTAAAGCGTTAAATGACCTCAACTTATCGTTGGCTATTGAACCGAATCATGCATCGACATGGAGCAGAAGGGGAGTCGTCTATTATAATCTTAATCGGTATAACGATGCACTAAATGACTTCAACAAATCGTTGGAGATTGAACCGAATAATACGTATGCATTGAGCAATAGAGGAGCTGTCTATCGTCATTTCAAGCAGTATGAAAACGCATTACATGACCTCAACAAATCGTTGGAGTTTGAACCAATTGATGCTTGGACATTGAGTACGAGGGGAGCCGTCTATCTTAATCTTGAACGACATAACGATGCGTTGAATGATTTCAGTGAATCATTAGCAATCGAACCGGATAATGCATGGACATTGAGCAGAAGGGGAACTATCTATAACTATTTTAAACAATATGCTAATGCATTATATGACTTCAACAAATCTTTGGAGATTGAATCGGATGATGCATACGCATGGAGTGGAAGGGGAGCTGTTTATCTTGACCTTAAACAATATGACGAAGCATTAAATGACTTTAACAAATCATTAACTATTGAACCAAACAATGCATGGACATTGAGCAGAAGGGGAACTGTCTATCTTAATCTTAAACGCTGTAGCGAAGCATTAAATGATTTCAATGAATCGTTGAAACTTAAACCAAATGATGCTTGGGCATTGAGTAGAAGGGGATGTGTATATATTAATCTTGAAAACTATGACAATGCATTGGATGATTTCAACAAATCTTTGGAGATTGACCCAAATGGTGCATGGGCATTGAGTCATAGGGGAGTTGTCTATCTTCATTTTATGCAGTATAGCAAAGCATTAGATGACTTCAACAAATCGTTGGAGATTGAACCAAATGATGAATACGCACGGAATGGAAGGGAAGTTTCCTATCTTCATCTTGAACAAGCAGATGATGCTTTTAATGACACCCTAAATAGTTTATTGGAGGGCGAACCTGACAATAGAACGATATTGCAGATGAAGGGAGCTATCTTACCGGATGTAGAACATTCCATGACACGTCGGGATATGAAATAAATATCGTCAATTAATTAAAGTAACGGTGTGCTTACTGTACACGGGACTTTTCAGAGAAATGGTAGCTAAGTATTATAATACCAGTCATCGCTCACGTAGTACGATCGGAAAGTTCGGTTAATCTGATAGGTTTTTCTTTTACAAAAAGCAGGTGATGATCTTAACGGACAAGGAAGATATTACGTAATGTCAAAGAAACCCGATTATTCCCGAATCTATAATTCAATATAATTTGCGAATGCGAGAACATTGTTAATATGTACATTAAAAAATTTTTTTATTAGACCCATTAAATATAAAACTTTGAATACTACTAATAGCATATTTCAATCACAGCACTATTTATTATGCGATTATCTATTTGTTTATTCTTTTCTTGAAATCTTTGTTGATCAACAAGAAGCGATCAAGAAATTCTTTTCTTCCGTCAATCGTAGACTTCAACGTACACTATAATCTTGAAGAGCGTAGTACATGTCTTCAACAGCCGTGCCTACAGTTGTCCCAACGCATGACAGTAGAAAGTATACAACACATCATATTACTCATTGTTTTCATACGAAGGAAGCAGGATTCGTCAATTATCCCACTCTTGGTATAGTTCATTGTTATTCTGAGGTTAATGATTATCATGGGTAAATCAGTCAGTGAATGTTCGAATAAAGTGACGTACTCTTCGGCAAGACACACTTGAGCTAACATGAATATATGTTCTTCATTGTCAAGAATATAGTCGTGCGCTTAACTTGTTGACGAAACAGTAATCTAGCCGAGAGTATTCCTTCATAGTATATTAACACTAAAAGTCAGAGATGACTAACCAACTCCTGATGTATGCTCCTACTATGTACGAGAACACATTTTCATCCAAGGGTATCTACTCATCTGATTTATTGTTATAATGCTTACTAAATAACAATAGTAATAGTATAAATATCATTAATAAATTTTAAAGTTTCCATTTTTAGTTATATCTATTAAAACTTGCCTTTTAACGGAAATTGATGTAATTTCTTGACCCAACTCTTCGCTTCCTTCAGTATATAAAATAGTAAGTCCAACCACGCGTCAGGAATATACATAATCGCAAACAATCCTGTCCTCCGATGTGTCCATCTATCCTATAGTCTTGACGTCCTGATCCCACCATCCCCCTGACAATTAGATTTTGTCTATGAATGTCGTCCAATGATAAGGCAATGACTCCAAGTTGGCAACTTATCCAATGACTTTTCCGCTCCATTGCATCTCGGATGATCATAGATGCTTCATATATAATAATTGCATTAGGACTACGATTTCTGATATTCTTAATCGTTGTAACAAGTCCAGAACTAAACATCGCGTCATCCTGGTAATGATGCCCTCTATTGATTAAACATATTATAGTTAGCCGCGAGCATATAAATGGTAACTCAATGTTCGGCTTTCCATCAGCCTCCAATACGGGATTCTTCTTTAACAGATCATTGTGCATAAACGTCATCGACGATCATTTTCACGGAAAAAAGTCAAGGAGCAAATCATGCAACCGGCAATGCACCAAATCGTCAACTACGATATTGTTCACCTTAGAAATAAGAAAACATCAGTGCGCGTAAACTTGGGAAGTTGACATTCTGGTGATGTAGTCCATCCTTACTTCGGATCCTCTCGTACATTCCAACCGCTACCTGAATTATCAGTCATATTGCCACGCTTGCGATGCATCTACTGAATTTAGCTTCATGCTCATGTTTAATAACCTTTCTTGGAGTGTTATCATACTTCTAGGAGCCCTTTAAAAGTAATGCGCTCCAAGTTTTTCCGAAACGCCTCAACTTCAGCCCCAGTCACCCTTGTCTCCCGAATAACTTGCTTTTCTGCCAACCGGCGGCGTTTTGAATCTCTTTTCTTGTTTAGGAGAAAGTACACGGATAGAAATATATTTACATCAAAAAACAGGAACGAACAATGATGTTGTTTCGACCATCCTCCAAATCGAATTTCTCAGCGAGAAAGGGCAAATTGGGAAGAAATTGTACAGAAATTTACGTCATAGAGAATCCAAAATTTGTATCACCGAGGTATTTTTCTCCCTACCAGCAACACTCGTTTAATGAATGCGACCCATGCCACAGCAACTTTTATCCCACTCGTCTCATTTATCATTTGTTGCATGATTCGCGCAACTGTTAATGCATGTATGAAATTAATACAACAGATAAACATTCATTTGTTGTAATGTCAATCAAAGTCTAGACGCGATTGACATATTTTTGGGGTGGGAGAGCGATACTTACCAACCAATAGTTGTACAATTAAGCTTCGGGTGACCTGCTGTATTTAATGAATTAATTAATTGCCCACTAACAAACTTCCTATACGATGTCATTCTCTACTCGTATCCAAATAAGGTAGTGAACTAGCAACAATTTAATAACCGTGACATCGAAGGGGAGTTTAGTTTGAGGGCGTGGAGAAGGGTATTCTACGTCACATAATTGTATACAAATATCTTTCGAACGTCTCTCTCTGTTCGATAGTCTTATCAGGACTAACACGGATATACAGTAAAAAACGGCGGTCAATAGAATATGCGTTATTAATAATACAGTAAATGTACGATCAATTCCATTAGTAAACAGAGTACGTGTATATTCCATTTGTACTGTCAAGCATAATCTCAAAAAACTTAGAGAAAACGGGCATCGGTGAGCACAAGCGAGGAAACGGACGCAACCCGAAGGTTACACAGATAATCTCGCGACAGAATATTCAACAAGACAACACATGTTAGTATTTGTGATTATATAAAAAAAAGGGTATAAAAGCTCTGTGCCTCTAGGAACAATGCTCACAGGACGGCATATTGAGATGTGAAAAGCATGGGCACGGGTACATGTGGATGACAATTGGGACCGAACATTCACAGATAAAACAATCTTTGAAACAAGTTTAGAAGTGGCACAAATTGGGGATACCAAATCCCGTCAGAAGGTAATGGCGTGGGGAGGCATTTCTCGAATGGAAAAACTCCTTTATATTGTTTTACGAACATTATAGATGATCCATTTTGTGTGAGAATATTGCAAACCCGACTTCTACCTGCTGCTCAAAGAATGTATGAGAGGAGCTGGTGTTTGCAACAGGACATAATCCAAAGCACATGTCACATATTTCATCGCTGAATATTCGATCCATTTAATTGACTGGCCATCCAACGGTCCTGATTGAAAATGGCAAATCATGAAAACAAAAATTTATGGCAGAGTAATGGGATGAAATCCAAGAGATTGTTAATAATTTAGTCTTCTCCATAAAAGCAGATGCAAATCAATTTTGGCAATAGAATCTCATACCGATACTAAAATTTTATGATAACTAAAGTAATTAACAAGCTTCAAATAAAACTAAATTTATTTAATCCGAATTCGTAATTGTTGAAATATACAGTTTTGTCACCGCCGTTTTTTTCTTAACACACTGTATGCCAATTAAAGTGCAGCACTTTTATCGACTGGAAGCTAGAGAAATTGTTAAACCCTAATTTAAATTGTGAGAAATATGGCAACAAAATAAATATAACAGTGATCAAACGTTTAGTGTACACTGCATTTATTATGGAGTAATAACACGAATCAAACAGGGATATTTATAATATACACTACCCTATCAAAAGTATCCGGTCAAGCTTTTTTTTGATTTTCTCAAGATGGATATATCAATTAGCTTTTCTTTTCTTTTTTTTTTTTTGAAAATAAATGTCCTGGTTCTGATGATTAACTGTATTTATTTGGTTTGTATTATGACGCGTACCTTATGCATTTCAGGATGATAATGCTCCCGTTCATACTGCAAAAGATGTTACAAATTGGATCACACGGAAAAAGAATAAGATTCTCCCAGATTGGCCTTCTCAATCTCCGAACCTTAATCCTATACATTTGTGGCATGAACTTGAACGGAGACTTCGAAAATGATCTGTGCATCCAAGGAATTTTTATAAACCTGAAGAAGCATTGCAAGAAGAATGGAAAAAAATCCCCGAAACTTGTATTAATTTAATTGAAAGATGCCACGTCGGATTGAAGCGTGTATTAAAAACCAAGGATGACCAACTAAATATTAAATATTTAATTTTTATTGATCGACCGGATACTTTTGATAGCATAGTGTATAAGATGATAAAATATATCATATCAGTATTACAAACTAAGGCAATTTGGAACCATGGATAATAATAATGCCATTTTGCTTCTACACGTCGCATTTTTATAACCAAAGCATCAGGGGTTTTTGGTCAAGTGCGGAGTACTAGACTTTCCTGGTCATCTAATTTAATTGCATTAAGAAATTTATCGATGAAAATGAGGCCATGGAAAGCGACTGTCGAAGAAAAGGTTGATAAAGAAAAAAAAATATGGAAATGAAGACGCTAATTGTGTTAATAATAATAAATATCCCTAGAAAAAACAACCAGGAATACACATCAATGACTCGTACAAATTTATAAGAATTCATGATATACAGTGTGTTTAGAAAAACATACATAAAAAACCCTGCAATCTCAACGACATTTCGATAAGGGCTTGAGCACGTCTGCAATTATTTGTGGCATAATAATAGTATCAATTAGCTTTAAACAAAAACTCAACTCGACCTCATTCCATACCTGTTGTATTTTAATACAAAGGTCAAAATATTACCCGTGAGTTTGTGCAACCGACGAGCGGTAGTTAGAACGTGGCTGGAATTCGACGCTGTAACGTCAGCATATTCCGAATACCTGCTATTAGAGAAGACATTAGAGATCATGGATGGTGAACACATTCCAATCGTAAGTTTATTGGTTGTTTTACATCGTATTTATCGACCCTATAATAATATAGCAGAGCAATCGCTTTCTTCCCTACCTTCTCCCCTACCTTCTCCCCTATTGTCCTCTGCCCTTCTACCCTACCTTAATTGATCTACGAACACTGTTATGTGGGGTGGCTTAATCGCGAGGGACTTTTATATCTTTATAATATCAACGATCGACATATTATTGTCACATGATTAGACTTTCAAAACTGTTCTCGCCTCTTCTGACATAACTATTATACCATTATGTCCAAGAACAGAATATCTTTTAAAAGATGCTTAGAGACAAGCATTCAAGAAGGGTCAATAGACTGTTTTCTGGAAAGCGATCTCTCAATAGAATCTACGCCATTGGCCCGTGGTTCGTTCGCCGTAATATACAAAGCGACGGTTAAGTCCAATTCAACTTTTGGCAAGAAGCAAGATATTCCCTCTGGCATGACTGTTGTAGTGAAGACCTTTATTCCTTTCTTATATGGAAATCTGAATGATTTTTACAGAGTGTTTATCCGAGAGGTTAGTCATTCCACTATTATTTATTGCATATTAATGCTTCCTTTTTTTATAATCTAATTTTTGGCATTATCATCATACATTAGTTGAACAATCATAGGCAGGCAAATGGCCACCCTAACATTATTCGTTTTCTAGGTTTATTCAAAGGTTTGATAATTTGGCAACTCGAGCTTATTGATAATTGATAGTAACGACTAATCCAGTTTCTATGTAACAAACAGTCACAGACGATACTTGTAGTATGATATTGGAACTGGCTGACGGTGGGACTTTGCGTGAGCACCTAGAGAAACACTTTAAGAATCTGTCGTGGAAAGACAAATACAAATTGGGATTAGAGATTGTTAATGGGTTAAAATACTTGCATGAGCTCGATATTGTTCACAAGGATTTGGTACGTATTGCAGATTGATCTATTTTCAGTTTATTAATACTAATTACGTCTATTCATTCAGTCTTCCAACAGTATTCTTATCCGAGCAGGCACCGCCAAAATTACAGATTTTGGTTTATCTTGTAATTTGAAACAAATGTCCGCATCGCATGGTCTTGGCACTTTAGCATACAAGGATCCAGCGTCTTTTCATAATAAGAAACGTGGAAAGGAATCCGATATTTTTGGACTTGGGGTAATACTTTGGGAGATCTCGAGTGGAAAAATTCCGTGTGAAGGACGTACCGACAGTGTTGCAATCATTGTATATAGACTTTCGGGGTTTCGTGACGCCCCAGTTCCTGGAACACTCGACGAATATATTAATTTATATTCAGAATGTTGGGATGAAACCCCCAATAAGCGGCCTTCATGTGAAAATGTCTATGAGCGATTAAAGTATTGTAATGCGTTAAATGACCTCAACTTATCGTTGGCTATTGAACCGAATGATGCATCGACATGGAGCAGAAGGGGAGTCGTCTATTATAATCTTAAACGGTATAACGATGCACTAAAAGATTTCAACAAATCGTTAGAGATTGAACCGAATAATACGTATGCATTGAGAAATAGAGGAGCTGTATATCGTCATTTCAAGCAGTATGACAACGCATTACATGACCTCAACAAATCGTTGGAGTTTGAACCAATTGATACTTGGACATTGAGTACGAGGGGAGCCGTCTATCTTAATCTTGAACGATATGACAATGCGTTGAAGGATTTCAGTGAATCATTAGCGATCGAATCGGATAATGCATGGACACTGGGCAGAAGGGGAACTATCTATAACTATTTTAAACAATATGCTAATGCATTATATGACTTCAACAAATCTTTGGAGATTGAATCGGATGATGCATACGCATGGAGTGGAAGGGGAGCTGTTTATCTTGACCTTAAACAATATGACGAAGCATTAAATGACTTTAACAAATCATTAACTATTGAACCAAACAATGCATGGACATTGAGCAGAAGGGGAACTGTCTATCTTAATCTTAAACGCTGTAGCGAAGCATTAAATGATTTCAATGAATCGTTGAAACTTAAACCAAATGATGCTTGGGCATTGAGTAGAAGGGGATGTGTATATATTAATCTTGAAAACTATGACAATGCATTGGTTGATTTCAACAAATCTTTGGAGATTGACCCAAATGGTGCATGGACATTGAGTCGTAGGGGAGCTGTCTATCTTCATTTCAAGCAGTATGGCAACGCATTAAATGACTTCAACAGATCGTTGGAGATTGAGCCAAATGATGAATACGCACGGAATGGAATGGAAGTTTCCTATCTTCATCTTGAACAAGCAGATGATGCTTTTAATGACGCTCTAAATAGTTTATTGGAGAGTGAA